GAGGGACAGTAAACTGGCCCCTGGTTTAAAAAGTTTGAGGACCCCTGATCTAGGGATTGGAATAAGAGTCAATGTGGAGTAGGTGCTTGAGAGTTGGAGTAGGAAGTGAATCCCTCTGCTCAGTGACTGAAACCCACATCAGAGTCAACCTAAACCTTGTTTGTAGCCTATATATTCTCTTTCATCTCTTATTTTTGCACATTATTTACTTTCATAGTTATAAAATTCATCAAAATGCACTTTAATTATCTCAGCAAGAGATACAAGTATGACATGGTCCATGGTGAAAATAGATGTACTCACGAGAACCACAGTTTGGTCCCGATGGACTGGATGGAGGTGAGATTTGTAGAAGCCTGGGGTCGATGAAGGACGTAAAGGATGTCGTAGATGAGGTACTGTTTTTTGGAGAGGTATTGTCAATACTTGGAGCCTAAATGGGAAGAACAGACAAGATGAAATGAAGATACATCATCACAACTGCCCATGGGGTTCATTTTAGTTATAGCACATGGATAAGATGTTACTACTGCAACGTACTATGAAGGTGAGAGTAAAATGTGCTAGTCTGTGCAGGTTGCATTATGCTGCAGATTGCTCCACCAAGATGAGCCAAGTAAAAAGCAGCAAAGTAAAAAGCACTGTAAAGAAATAGGTAAATCCAATTAGGTAAGAAGATAAGCAGGAACAAATTAGCAACTCTTGGTGAGGTAACTATGACCTTTCCCACCAAAAAGCATCTATAGCCTTTGATCCACCAAAAGGAAAGTAGCCTGTTGGTTCTCCTGGACCTCTCAGCAACTTTCAATACCATCGATCATGGTATTATACTGGGTTGTCTCACTGGGATGGGACTGGGAGGCCTTGTCTTACAGTGGCTCCGTTCCTTTCTGGAGGGCCGTACCTGTTGCACTCCAGAACATGAATAACCCTCTGACTTTAAACGCTAAACGTTGAATAGAAGAAAACAATCCTTGATTGAGGATAAGTAAAAAGCAGCAAAGTAAAAAAGCACTTTAAAGAAATAAGTAAATCCAATTAGGTAAGAAGATAGGCAGGAACAAATTAGCAACTATAGCCTTTGATCCACCAAAAGGCAAGTAGCCTGTTGGTTTTCCTGGACCTCTCAGCAGCTTTCGATACCATCAATCATGGTATTATTCTGGGTTGTTTCTTTCTGGAGGGCCGTACCTGTCACACTCCAGAACAGAAATAACCCTTTGACTTTAAACACCAAACGTTGAATAGAAGAAAACAATCCTTTTATTGAGGATAAGTAAAAAGCAGCAAAGTAAAAGGCACTTTAAAGAAATAGGTAAATCCAATTAGGTAAGAAGATAAGCAGGAACAAATTAGTCCAAGGTAGAGTTCCGCAACGTCCGTAAAAGGAAAGTCCACACATCTCCAATACAATCAAAAAAAGCAGGAATACATTGATCCAAGGCTTGGGTAAGCAATCATGAAACATAGGAATCCAAAACCATGAACGAGAAATATCTTAGCATGAAACTTCAAAGCAAGTTTTCCATGAAACAAGGATGAGAACTTGGCGTGATTCTAAATGATGCTTCATCTGACTACACATCCCAAACTTGAGACTTTTATCCCCTCATTAGCTAGGTCACTAGCGGTCAGAAATTGGTTTCTCTTTAGTTGAGGCTTTGTTATTGTTTTTCCTTTTTTTCTTCCTCTAACCTTTCCTAATTAATCTTATGTAAATAAAGCATTTAATAGACTTTCTTATATATAAATATTACTTCAATTATCATATATTCCTTCATATTCTAACTTTCATAATTCATACTTTTTATTTACCTCCCTCTGTTCTAATTTTTTCTTTCTATGAAATAGTTAATTACTGCTTCTCTATTTGATTTACAATTGATAATTATAAATTTAATTCCTTATTTCAATTCTATTTCTATAATTTCTTCACTTATTATATAAATATTTCCTTACTTACTTCTTATCTTTGCTCAATGTTATTATCACTTTACTCTTTCACGAACAAGTAATTCTATAATTTTTTACCTTAGAGACTATTTAATAAATAAATTCTCTCATTGCGTACATGCATTAATTATCATTTCATTCTTTCTTTCCCTATCTAGTTACAATCATTTCTTCATTACTATACCTCTTTCCTTCCTTCCTTCTATATTGGATTCAATGAATTCCTATACCGTTAATTACTATCAATCTTTCGTATCAAGTTATTCATGAAGAAATTATTTTTTTCATTTCAATTAATGAATATATTGGTCTACATGCATTAGTATCCCTCCTTCTTTTATTGAAAGACAAGATTTGCTATAATTTGCTTACAGTAGGAAATATTGAATGAACTCTCTCTCCTTTGAGTAAATGATTAAGTATCGTATTGCATTATTTCTGTCAATTGACGTACTCTAATTCTTATGCTTACCTATTTACTTCATTAATTAGATATTTGTTAAATGCTTCACATTAGCATAAATTAATTTAGTGCAAGCCCGATATAAGTAAGATTATATAAATATTTACATGCAATGCATTATATAGTGAAATAGGCCTTACAGGATCACCTTTCCTTCTTTCTTAAATCTGGAGGTAATACGCTGCTTGACTTGGCTCTACCTATTGATTAAGTAATTCTTATATTGATTCAATTGGAATATAAAATAACGTATTTATGTACAGCACTCTTGCTATACTTGATTAATGTATATAAAGATTAATTCATTAATTGCCTCGCTTTGCATCCATGATGAGTAGAACGGAAATTCGTTCAAGAACTATCGTATCAAGTGAGGATGATATAAAGATTTTTCATGAATATTGCTTAATGCTTACTCATCACTTTCAATTAGTCTCACTACAAGCATGTATCTCCTTTTCTTTCTTTCATTCCTCTTCTCCCTTTTCTTCCCTTCTCCTTCTTTCTTTCTTTCTTTCTTTCTTTCTTTCTTTCTTTCTTTATTTTTTTCCCTTCCCTCTTTCTTCCCTTTTTCTGTATTGTCATTTAGCTTTTCGTCATTTAGCTTTTTGGGGCTTTTTAAGTCCCTTCTGCTGTGTTTTTCAGTGTTTTTATGAGAGAAGGACGTAAATTGGGTTGTTGTGTGTCTTGTGTCCAAATTTGGAGTCAATTCCCCCAGTAGTTTTTGAGTTCTGTTAATCCCACAAACGAACATTACATTTTTATGTATATAGTAGGCTTGGGTAACCACGGAAAAATTTGGTTCTAAACTCGTTTTGTTTTTAGGGGGCCCTTGCGTTTCGTTTTTTTAAATAATTCCGAAATTTACCTTTAAAATTTTTTGAAATTTACGAAATTTTGTAAAATTACCAATCGATTCGTTAATGGCGGACGTGATTGCGCAATATGCTAAAAAAAACCTCCAAATGGGAGAGGGGGAACTTCTGAAGCTTCCCTCTCCCTCTGTTGTTGACTGTTGGTGTGATAAAACAAACAACAACTATAAAACTTGCACCAGACATGCGAAAATAATTACGAAATAATTACGAAATAATTTCGAAATAATTACGAAATAAATTGAAAAAATTGTTTCGAATCTTAATTACTCCTCACACTATTCCTGCATGGCTCAATATTGGATCGTAAGCTAATTTAAATACGAATTAATAACGAATTACGAAATTAACGAACGAAACCGCCCAAGCCTAGTATATAGATGTTGTATGTTAATGTTTTTAATAGTATTTTATGATTGTTATGCTTTTTAATTGTTTCACTGTGAGGTATCGAATTATTGCCATTAGTAAACTGCTCTGAATTGCCTCTGGGCTGAGAGGGGCAATATATAAATATAGTAAATAAATAAATTCAGGGATGCTGGAAGTTGTAGTCAAAAACAACCTTTACAAGATCTGTTCTGTCCACCATTTTGATTATCCTTTGATATGGAAGTCTTACCTTATTAGAAACCGGCTTGCCCTGAGATTCCAAACTGTTCTCCGCAACTTTTAGTTGAAAGTCTGAACAGTCTGATATTTGGCTCTGCTGCAGGAGGTCCGGGAGGAGATAATTTTGGTTGCTCATGCTCCAAAAGCCTTCGTGAGTGCTGCAGTTGGGTCTTCCTGCAGCATAATCCTGGACCAAAGGACAAATGGGAAAGCATACCTGTCACATATAAAGACTTAATCCCAGGTACCACCTCTACAAAGTTCTGGAGAGACTTATTTTGCATAGAATTATGGAAAAAATAGACCCCTGTCTGATCCCACAGCAAGCTGGCTTCAGGAAAGGCAAAAGCTGCATATCGCAAGTGCTGAACCCGACTCCGCACATAGAAGATGGCTTTGAAAGGCAGCAGATCACAAAGGCTGTCTTCATAAACCTGTCAGCAGCCTATGATACTGTGAACCACCACCGCCTCCTCCTGAGAAAAATGTATAATATCACAGAGGACGACCGCCTCACCCGCCTCAGAGGAAACCTGCTACAAAACAGGAGCTTTTTTGTTGAGTTCCAGGGCCAGAGAAGCAGATGGCGGAAACAGAAGAACGGCCTGCCTCAGGGGAGCGTGCGTGCTCCATCCATGTTCAACATCGACACAAATGACCAGCCACTGCCAGAAGGGACAGAGAGCTTCATCTATGCTGATGATTGTGCCATCACCACTCAAGCAGGGAGCTTTGAGATGGTTGAACAGAAGCTCTCTGAAGCTCTAGGTGCTCTTATTGCCAACTACAGGGAAAACCAGCTGATCCCTAATCCATCTATCCAAGAGTTCTCAGTTGATTTGCCATTACATGGTAGAGAATTGTTCCCGCCCACTGTCCCTCCCCCATTTTCCTTGTGAAAAAGCAAAAACAAACCTCTTCTCCTGGACTATGGTTTTTGTTTCTGGGTTATAAATGTTATTTCCTAATTGGTTCTCTCTTTGCAGAAGGGACATTAGCCTGCTATAGCACATTTTGCTCTGGTTTCTCAATGACTGAATATCTTGTAGAGTCTCCATCGCAACAATAAACCAGGGATGAGCTAGTTTGGAAGAAGTCAGCAATGCCATCAGCCAACAAAAAACCAACAAAGCCAGCGGACCTGATGGGATCCCTGCTGAAATCTATAAAGAGGGAGGACCTGAGCTGACACAACAACTCCACCAGCTGATTGAAAAAGTGTGGGTGACCGAGAAAATCCCCGCAGATTTCAAGGATGCCACCATCATCACCCTCTTCAAAAGAGGGGAAAAAACATACTGTGGAAACTATCGAGGGATCTCCCTTCTAACCTCCGCTGGGAAAATCCTCATAAGAATCCTTGCAAACCGCCTTCTGCCCCTCTCAGAAGACACCCTCCCAGAATCCCAGAATGGCTTCCGCCCCTCCAGAGGAACAGTGGGCATGATCTTCACTGCATGACAGCTCCAAGAAAAATGCAGGGAACAGAACCAACCTCTGTACATAGCTTTCATTGACCTTGCAAAGGCATTCGACACAGTTCATCGCAACACCTACGTGGCCAAAGAGGTTCTCTCACAAATCCCACAACAACAAACCAGGGATGAGCTTGCAGCACTGCCTAGTTTGGAAGAAGTCAGCAATGCCATCAGCCAATGAAAAAATAACAAAGCCAGCGGACCTGATGGGATCCCTGCTGAAATCTTTAAAGAGAGAGGACCTGAGCTGACACAACTCCACCAGCACATAGCAAAAGTGTGGGTGACTGAGAAAATCCCAGCAGATTTCAAGGACGCCACCATCATCACCCTTCTATTTATTATTATTATTATTATTATTATTATTATTATTATTATTATTATTATTTTCTCAAAAGTCAGTTATGTAGTATCCCCTCACCTGATCATTAGGTTTTTCTATTAACTGTTTTGCTGTCCCACGCTGATTTCATAGAATCCTAGAATCAAAGAGTTGGAAGAGACCTCTTGGGCCATCCAGTCCAACCCCATTCTGCCAA